CATACACACTCTCTACTGCTCAGTTACACCCTAGCCCTCAGATTTTTTTTTTTGGTGTGTGTGTGTGTGTGTGTGTGTGTGTGTGTGTGTTTGTGACACTGGAGAGCAAGCCCAGCGGCACTCTACCACTGAGCTACATCCCCAGCCCTTTTTATTTTATTTTGAGATGGTATTTCTAAGTTGTTGAGGCTGGCCTCAAACTTGCGATCCTGGGCTGGGGATGTGGCTCAAGCGGTAGCGCGCCCGTCTGGCTTGCGTGCGGCCCGGGTTCGATCCTCAGCACCACATACAAACAAAGATGTTGTGTCCGCCGAATACTAAAAAATAAATATTAAAAAAAAAAAACAAAAAAACCAACTTGCGATCCTCCTGCCTCAGCCTCCTAAATCGTCAGGATTACAGATCTGAACCACCACATGCAGCCCACAGGGAATTAAAAAAATAAAAACCTAGATTATGTCACTCACCATCCCAAAGGCCATCACTCATCCCCACTGTTTTCAGAAGAAAACCCAACTCCTTACTCCAGCCTACAGACAAGGTCCTATATAACCTGAGACACCCCCACCATCATCCACCGTCTCTCTTCTCTCGCCTGGACTCACCCACTGCAGCCACTCTGGCCTTCTTGCAGTTCCTGGAAGTGACCAAGTCTGTTCTCACCTCCGAGCCTTTTCCCTGGCTGTTCCTTCTGGCACATCTTCAAATGGCTGGCCCCTTCCTGGGAGCAAATCCCAGCAAAAAATGTCACTGCCTTACCCAATTAAAGTAGCAGTGTCCCCAGTCCCCCGGAGAAGGCAATTTCTATGCCATCACCACTCTTGTATTGTTTCAGGGCACTCATTCCTACTCTAATGACCTTGTTCATTGGCTGGTTTATTTCTCCGTTTGCTGCCACTAGAATGTAGGCTGCACAAAAAAAAAGGACCCCTTTGCCTCTCTACCATCATGTCCCCAAGCTCCCACAGGGCTGGCACATGCCAGGTGACAGTGAATGTGGAATGAAGCCGAGGGAGCAGCATGGCTTCTTTGGGTATTTTTAATATGCTTTCAGTTATCGGTGGACACAATACCTTTGTTTTATTTCTGTGTGGTGCTGAGGATCAAACCCAGTGCCTCACACGTGCTAGGCAAGGGCTCTGCCCCGGAGCCCCAACCCCAGCCCCAGCCCCAGCCCCAGCATGGCTTCTCTTACTCGGCTTCCTTGACTGTATCATGGAGATCTTAGTCTGCACCTCATCTTCCTTGAAGTTGGTTTCTTCTTGTGGTACGGGGGATAAAGCCTGGGACCTCGCGCATGCTAGACAAGTGCGCCATCACTGAGCTACATCCCCAGCCCTTCTTATTTTTGGGTGTTGCTAAGTTGCCCAAACTGGCCTCAAACTTGCCATTCTCCTGCCTCAGCCTCCAGAGTGGCTAGGATTATGCATGTGCCACACCAGCATAAAGGGTTACTGATAAAACCAAATAAGTAAAAGCACATTTAATTTTTTTAAAAAATTTTTTTAGTTGTTGATAGACCTTTATTCTATTATTTATACATGGTACTGAGAATTGACCTAGTGCCTCACACCCGCCAGGCAAGTGTGCTACCTCAGAACCACAGCCTCAGCCCAAGGCACATTTAACTTTTTAAAATCATTAGGCACTGGAGAGAAAGCACTGTATTGTTAAAGATCTAAGAGAAGGCTCTTTTCCAGGGACCAATTAATTAGTGGATGAAAAGGGCAGGGAGGAACTGGAGGCTTCTCCCCCAGCCCCCTAATAGAAGTCTCTGGACACAATAGAAGAGATGTGAATCTCCGACTTCACTCTGTGATTGGAACAAACACAATATAGGAATTCATTTAAAGAAGTCAAATCATGCCAAATGCCAGTAAGCTGTAAACTATGCTTTGGGTTCCTTGAAGGATATGGAGATGGAATGTCCTCCATGTCTCTGGCACAGAGGGATTTAATAAACATTTACTGAATTTAGGTGTCAAGCTACCAATCCTGGCATCCTTCCATCAGCCTTCCCCGTTCTCTGCAATCCATTCTGGCGCGGAAGGGCCAGTCTTGGGGCAACCCTATAATAACACCAACATACATAATGCAGAGATGACTACTGTTTCATGTTTGCAAGGACCTTGAGAGACTGACAGACCTGGCATTATTATCATCACATACTTTAATCATTCACCTACTATAAATAAAATATAAAGTATAGTACTAGGGACATGCTAAACCCAAATAATGACAGTTAACAATGACCACACATGCAGGCACTTTACATGGATTAGGCTCAAATAAATCTTCTCAATAGTCTTGCATTCTTATCCTCATTTTGCCATTGAGGAAACTATACCACAAACTGTGAAGTCAACTGCTCAATGGTACAGGGGAAAACTGTGATTTTAACCCAGGCAGCCTGAGGGCAGGTTTTTCTTTTTGTACTGGGGATTGAACTCAGGGATGCTCAACAACTGAGCCACATTCCKAACCCCTTTTTGAATATTTTATTTAGAGACGAGGTCTTGCAGAGTTGCTTAGGGACTTACTAAGTTGCTGAGACTGGCTTTGAACTAGTGATCCTCCTGCCTCAGCCTCCTGAGCTCCTGGGATTACAGGTGTGCACCAACGTTAAAAGGCGGGAGTCTAGGCTAGGAAATATAGCTCAGCTGGTAGAGTGCTTGCCTGACATGCACAAGGCCCTGGGTTCGATCCCCACAAGGAAAAAATAAATTAATTAATTAAAAGCCAGGCCTGAAGGCAGCTTTTAACCACAACTAAACAGCAGCCCTCTAAGGGCCTTTAGGATCATCTAGCTGACTGCTACCATTTTAAAGAGGAGACGACTAAGGAGCATAGTTTAACCTTCCAGCTCTTYTTTGGATGGTATCTACTTAAATAAAGCTTTATTTACAATCTTATTTTTTGGGCTGGGGATGTGGCTCAAGCAGTAGTGTGCTCGCCTGGCATGCATGCGGCCTGGGTTCAATCCTCAGCACCACATACAATAAAGATATTATGTCCACCGAAAACTAAAAATAAATAAATAAATATTAAAATTCTCTCTCTCTCTCTCTCTTAAAAAAAAAATCTTATTTTCATGCCATTGGAAGAAAAGCCTGTAGCGAAAGCAATTAGAAGTGACAAAAGAATACACCCTTGTGGCCTTGTAACAGCTACAGTTAAGTTCTTCTTTTTTTTTTTAGTTGTTGATGGACCTTTATTTCATTTATTTATTTATTTGTGGTGCTAAAAATGGAACCCAGTACCTCACGTGCTAGGCAAGCGCTCTGCCACTGAGTCACAACCCCAGCCCATACAGTTAAGTTCTTAACAATTAAGAAAGCAGAGGATTTAGCCAGGTACAGTAGTGCCCAACTATAATCCCAGTTAGTTGTAAGGCTAAGGCTGGAAAATCTCAAATTCGAGATCTGCCTCAGCAATTTAGCAACACCCTGTTCTCAACATAAAATAATAAAAAGGTTGGGGATGTGGCTTAGTACTTAACTGCCCCTGGGTTCAATCCCCAATGTCATAAATAAATAAATTATTTTAATTAAATAAAAAGGGCCAGGGATGTAGCTCAGAGATAAGAGTGCTTGCCATATATGAGGTCCTGATATCACTCCCCAGGAAACACACACACACACACACACACACACACACACAAATGATTTACCTGGAAACATGTAGGGCTCCCTCACATAATAGGCATAAGATTCTTAGACATGTTATTTGAATTTCTTTTTCTTTCTTTCTTTCTTTTTTTGGTACTGGGGCTGGACTCAGGGCTGCTTTTCCATGGAGATACATGCCCAGAACTTGTTTATTTTGAGACAGGGTCTCACTAAATTGCTTGGGCCTTGCTAATTTGCAGAGGCTGGCCTCAAACTTGTAATCCTCCTGCCTCAGGCTCCTGACTTGCTAGAATTCCATGCATGTGCTACTGCAGCCAACTCTCATTTGATTTTCTCAACCACATTTCTAACCTGCAAAATGAGGATATCACCAAATACTTGACAGTCTATGTAAAGATTAAGTGAGATAATATATCTGAAATGCTCTTTTTAATTATATACTTACAGATAATTATTACTGTTTTATTTCCCCAAAGATATAAAAAAAGAAAACATTTTCTTCTGAAATGACCAAAAAGGCACAAGTAGAAAGTAAGACCATAACACAAACCATCTATAAGAACTTCATGTCACTACTTGCAGAAGTCAACTACCTTCTGTGCTCTAAGCAGAACGGAGAAGTAAAACTGGGGCTGGGAGGATGTCAACGTCAACAGTGGTAGGAATACCTACCTATATGAGCTGGCACAGGGCAGGCCTAAATCCTACCTGTAGAAAAGTGCACTTCCCATGTGCACGCTGGCTGACATACCTGTCCCACTGGATTCCCACAGCAGTCCAACATCCCATTTTGGAGATAAGGAAAAGAAGGCTCATGGAGGTTACCTTGCCCAAGGCCACGGTTACTAAGTGGAGATGTAGTCTCAAATTCAAGACACTCAGACTTCAAGACACAGGACTTTTGGCCCCACACTAGGGCGCCCTAAGAATTCTCGCTCTTCCCACTTAGGGCACTTTCACCTACGCGTCTCATCTTAGTTAACTGAGCACGGTGTTAGGAACCCATTAGACAAACAAGTCAACGGAGGCCAGAGCAGGGAAAGGACTTGCCCAAGGTCACACAGCGAGCCAGGGACAGCGCCCAGGTGGTCCCCCAGACTCTTGCTCCCTAGTCATCCTTTCGAGACGGGCCCCTGACCACTGGCCCAGGCCCTCCTGCGGGACTGTGACCCTGGGCGGCCAAGTCTGGGGGGTCGAGCTGCGACCCCGCCTGGGGGAGGAGCGAGGACGCCAGGACCGCCGGAGGATGCCCGGAGGCAGGGCAGAGGATGCTCAGGCTCGCGGGGCAGCACAGCCGGGCGCGGGCGCTGTGTCCGCCGCCAGGCGGCTGCAGGGATCAGCCCGGCGGACACCGGGCCCCTCCGGACTCACCTGCGGCCCGAGCCGACAGCGGGCGGCGGCGGCGGCGGCGGCGGCGGCGGCGGCAGCGGCAAATCCCGGGCTCAGCCATTCCCCACTGCCCCGGATGGGGAGAGACCGCGGCCGCTCACTTCCTTAGCAACCCGGCTCGGCAACCCACTTCCTTAGCAACCGGTGTCAATTTCAATAACTTTATTGGGACACGCGCAAGGCCAGGGAAAGCCTGCCGGCCGGGCGGGGCGAGGCGGGGCGGGCGGAGTCTGGGCGGTGCCTCGCGGCTCCCGGGTTTCCCTAGCCCCGGGAGCCGGAGCGGCTCGGCGCCGGGTGGCSGGTCAGCCCGCCGGCGTCCTGCGCTCGGCCTGGGGTCTGGAAGATGGAATGCACTGCACTGCCTGGGTCTCGCCATGCCGTTCCTGCCGCCTCTGCACCCTTCCTGGAGCGCTGGGACCTGAATGATCCGACTTGTGTCTCAGATTGCCCCTGAGCAGCTTCCTCGACCCTTCACTCCTCACATCCAGCATCCCCATGTCCCTTGTCTGCCTCCCGATATATCTTCTGTTTCTCCATCTTCCGTGGCGCCGCTCCAAGCAAGGCCAGGCACTGTCATCTGTAGCCTACCTGCTTCTATTCCTCCTGCCCCGCCAAACCATTTTCCACGATATGCTAGAATAATGCTGCTAAAAGCTAAACCGATCATAGCAACTCCCGGATTAACATCCTTTAGTGGAGTCTCACCACTAATTTTTTTTTGGGGGGGAGGGGACTGAACAGGGGGAGCTTTACCATGGAGCTACAGAACTACATCCTTAGTCCTTTTTTTTTTTTTTTTTTTTTACTTTTTAAAAATTTGAGTCAGGGTCTCACTAAGTTGGTGAGGCTGGCCTCGAACTTGCAATCCTCCAGTCCTGATCAGCCTCCTGAGTTGCTGGAATTTCAGTCACGTGCCACTGTGCCTGGCACCTGTTTTTTAATATAGTACCAGTATATTAGTATATAGTACCAGTGGAGATGTAGTCTAACTCGAGACACTCAGACTTGTGAGTTTCCATTCCTGTGATACCTACGGTTATCTATCGGTGAGGAGTTCTGCTTCCTCACGTGTTGAAGTTTGAAGGAGCAGAGGCAAGCACATAAAGCAGGGGTTATTTAAAAAGGGGTACCATAGACTTCTCCAGGGAGGGAGAAGGGGGCCATAGCTGGTATCCTGGTATCCCAAGAAGTGAGGTGAGGTCTTCTGCTCTTTTTGTAAATCCTAGGCTTCCTTTGTTCTAAGGACACCTTAACAACCTTATAGCTTCCTGTAGGGAGGTTACCTTGGCAACAGGTTGGTGCTGGGGCAGGTTCTTGATAAGGGTGGAAGAAGGGCTCTGAAGGAATTAACATTTCATTCCTTCAGGGGACAGTCTCCAACTTCCCGRATTCACTTAAAATTGGCCTCCTGGATCTGCCCTGACTYGATTTACCTATCTATGCTGACTGCCTGTCTAATTCTGGCTTCACCTGGAATTTCCTTTTCACACCTTGCCTGCTTTTCCATTCAACCTGGATGGTGGGGCATTTATTACTCAGAGAAGAGTTGCTCCAGCAAAAAAAAAAAAAAAGAAAAATAGAGAAAGGACTTTCTAGATTCCTAAGTCTGACTGGGGATGAAGAAGTCTTGAAAAGTGAGAGCAGGGCTTCCAAACCTACCAGTTCTGAAGATTCGCTCCATGTGTTAAAGAGAAGAAATGGTGAGAGTTTAATAGTGGGAAAGACACTAGTGAGAAGTGGACAAGGGGACCCAATCTGGAAAGATCAGTTGGACCAGAGCGGAGAACCTTCCCTCTGCTTCCCCTAGAGAAACTCCACCCTATAAACGAGGTCTAATTCCAGTGAGCATCTCATGTCATTTCACCAGAAACTATAGAAACCAACCCAGACTAATGGTAGTAGAAAAAGAATTTGTTAGCGGGGCAATGGGAAGTCCACAAAACTACCAGGAAGTTCCTGATGCACTCCCTATAGGATTGACAAATGGCAGATGTTTTGGTTCCTGTGCCAGGGAAAATCACCAAGTTTTTTTTCTTCTCTGACATTCTTCAGCAATGCTGACCTGTCCTGGTTTCTAGAAGTGGCCATGAAGGACAGAGTTCAGGTCATGTGGGACCACATGGTACTGGGCCAGTCCCTTGGGTTCACCAGATGCCCCAGCTTTCACCAGGTTCAGGTCATTTGACCATGGACAGTGTCTCAGCACCGCCCCGCACCTCCCCACATTCAAAGATGGGTGAGCCCGTCCACATGCCCATCTGCTTGCAGTAGAAGCTGTAAAGGCATATATCTGACCCTTTGAGCTTCTAGCTAGGAGGGAAATTCTGCCTTCCAGGCATAAACAAGGATTCCTCAAACACAGGAAGGAGGTTTTGCTGCTGGGCAGGAAAAAGCCATCCCGTTTTAACCAGTTTTCTGTCCCCTTTGCCAAGGAGCTCGGTCAGTCCTGCACCTCATAGTTACTCAGGGAGGACCCTCTCTTCCAAAAAGCAAGCATGTCACCAGTGACCTAGCAGGACAGCCCAAATCCCCTGTGATAAAGGAGGACCACTGGATACCTAGGGATTGGAAGGTAGCTGGGGAAAATGRGAAGGAACCTGTTGGCACCGATTGAAGCCTAAACCAGGAGAAACGAATAACGCAGACCAGAAACCCCTGACTGGCTTTACTATGATCTTGCTTACAGAAAGGAACTCCTGATGGACTCCCTATAAAGCTGACCAATGACATGGATTGGCTTCCCAGGCAAGGGTAAAATCACTAGACTTCTTCCTTCTCTGACATTCTAGAAGTGCTGCCACTCAACAAATCTTTCTTCCACGATGGTGTCTGCTAGACACCAGTCACATGTGGCTATTAAGCATTTGAAATGAGACTACTGCTACTGAGGAACTGAATTCTATTTACTTAATTTAATTAATTCATGGTTAAATCATCACCTGTGGCTAGTGACAACCATATTGGACACCACAGCTCTGGGCTATGAAAAATGACAAAGAGGAACTGTCAGGTCCAAAGAGACTTGGGTTTGAATCCCAGTTCCATGCCTCACCAGCTAGCCGAGTGACCCACTGCAAGTTACTGACCTCGTTAGACTCAGTTTTCTCATCTGCAAAATGGAGCTATAAATGCTACTATTCAGGTTTATCAGGAGGATTAAATAAGATACAGCCTGGGACAATGCCTGCCACCTAATATGTGTCCCACAAATGGGAGATTTCTTTCCTTCCTTTATTGGGCAGGGCTGTGGTGTCCTCCAGGGAAATAATAATTGCGAATGTGAGGAGTCCTTCTGGTGAGAGCGTTCAGGCTCTTGGAAATTTAATAGTATTGGGGGAAGAGAACTGAAAGGGGCTGTGTGAAAAAGACTGCAAAAGGAATTATTTATTAGAATACAAGGAGGTATCCCAGAGCCCCTTTCAGGAAGAAACAAGATGCTGTATTTGGATGGAGGCCAAGCACCTGAGACACACTTGATGGTCTTGCTTGGCTGCATGCCCAGGTTCCGTATGGATGAGACTCACGGACCTGAGGGAGGCTCCGGGCTGGGAATTGAGCTAATGGTTTCTAAATTCACATCTTTGATGTTGCTGAAGAAAGCCAGACAAGAGTTGGCTGCTAATTGCTTCCTTCCCAAGCACTTAAGGGATATGTGACCTTGGGCAAGTTAGTTCACCTCTCAGACCTCATTTCCCTATTTGCCCCTTTGCAGGGTTGCTGTGAGGATTTGTCCAAGGAATGAGTGTGAAAAACTATCCCAGGTGTAGAGCATGTTAATGGTGAGGGATGAGAGAGCAGTGACATTAAAATCTTAGAGCCAGAAGGAGGCCGTAGAAGAACTGGGACTTGTACCTGAGTCTCTGGACTGGGTTTCATGTTAACTTGTTTGGATCCTCTGTGACTGGCCCACAGCAGCACACAACACACTTATTATAAAACATACATTATCATCATTCACGTCTCAAATTCACAGATTTTTTTCAAAGCATAAATCAATGTTGGCAAGGATAGACAGAARAGTGTGTTTATCCCACTGATGATGGAGTGAGAAACTGCACAAATTGTAAGGAAAATTATCATGATGATTAATAAGCATTTGAGTCCGCCCATTCCACATCTAGGAACAGATTTTGAGGAAACAAGGAAATATGCTCCCGAAGATGTAGGCGCATGCATATTCATCCCGGTTTTGTTTACAACAGGGAAATATTATGTCCAACGTTAGGGAATGGATAGCTGAGTTGAAATGTTGGTGAGGGGAAATACCGTATCGTCATGGAAAATGCTGTTTTTTGCCAGGTATGGTGGCACATGCCTATAATCTCAGCAGCTCTGGAGACAGACAGGAACATTCCAAGTTCACAGCCAGCCTTAGCCACTGAGGTCCTAAGAAATCTCGGGAGACCCTGTCACACACACAAAGAGTGTGGAGGGGGAGCTGTGGATGAGGATGTAGCCCACTGGTAAAGCACCTCTGGGTTCAATCCCCAGTATGTAGGGGAAGGGGAAGGAGAAAAAAAGAAAAAGCTTTGAAGAGCATTCAATAATATGGGTAAGTATTCCTGAAAAGCCCCATTTTACAGAAGAGAATTGAGCCTCCCATTATCCAGTGAAAAGGTCTCAGAGCCAAATTCAAACCTGTTCTAACTCAACTTCAGAGCCTGTAACTTTGGCCTTTTTGGAATTCACAAACTGATTGTGAGCWGCATCTACCCACAGTTGCGTTTTGTTTGTCCTTCCCAGTGTTACAAAATTGAGACTGAATAAAAACCAGGAGATGTCCCATAAAAATTGGGATTTTCAGCTCCTCTTGAAAAGCCCAGATCTAAAGATCTGGCTATATTCTTCCAACGTCCCCACTTGACAATAACTGGATGGAGGGTAACAATAGCACCCCTTACACTTGACAGAGTAAAGGATTGCACATTCGCTCACCCCACCCCATCACCAACCCCCTCCAAACCTGCCTCATTCCCTCTCCTTGCCTGTCTGGCCCTTGGATACATTTGAGTTTRTAGATCTGGGGTCTGTACATTCCAAAGGCCAGACATGCCTTACTGAACAAACAGGCTGGCAGAGTTGTTGG